CTCGGAATCCACAACAATATAATTCACAACGTATATATATATATATATATATATATATATATATATATATATATATATTTGGTTGGATTGATGTGAGTTTGTGACCCTGGGTTTCACGCTTTTGCGATCGTCAGACAAACTCTAATAAGTACCGTCAGACAAACTCTAATAAGTACCGGGCATATAATATATAAATAATTATATATATATATTTATTTATATTTATCTACACACACTTTTCACACACACACACACACACACAAACACACACATACATACATACATATATATATATATATATATATATATATATATATATATATATATATATATATATATATATACACGCAAATAGTTGTTTTTCTTAGGAAATGCGAATATTTGCAAGTACTTACTGAATTTACCATAAATAGTTGATTCCGTATTTAGTTTTGAATAATTTGTTAAATTTTTAGAAGTTTCGATCTATTATATTCATAGTCAGAGATTTTTCTAAAAATTGGTACAGTCCAAAATGATTCACTCCTATTAGGGAAATTAAGAAATAATATTGCTCTATGGCAATCGTAATGTATTTTTCTTAATTTGACATTTAATCCAAACACCTTTTGAAAATGAAAGAGTATTGACCTGATTCTATAACATTCTAAAAGGTAATGAAGAAGACAAATATGTGAGTGCCGCATACTGCGATAACTCATTCATTCTGTAACCATAGAGAAGATGGCTGAACTTGACATGAAGTTCCAAATGAAGATAGTTGATGTATACAAACAAGGTGATGGATATACAGCACTTTTCAAGCATTTAAATGTTCCTAGATCGACAATTCGTACCATTACCAAGATGTATAAGGAGACACATTGTGTTGTGAGTGAATTAAGAACTGGCATTTTTGAATTGAAAAGAAAATTGTTAAAGACGTCTCGAAATATTCTAATTTAACGACAAAGGACATTTTGTCAATGATGAAAGGACATCAGGGTTGAATGGATAGACGAAGAGAATCACTCGACGCTTTCATCGAGCAGACCTTCGAGTTTGTCTCCCTTGATTAAGGATAAACACCTAAAATTCAGATTAACTTAAGCTAGAAGCCATCTAGAACATGGTTCTAAATAATGGAACTCTGTTATATGGTCAGATGAAATTTAACTAGAATTATTTGGTCAAATGAACTCTCGTTGTGTATGGAGGAAAGTGAACAAAAAATACCCTCCCTACAATTAAGCAGGGCGGTAAGAGCATTCTGTTATGGGGAGGTACTGCTTCTGGACCAAGAAAACTCGTGGGATAAAGAGCAGTATTTGGCTATTGTTTAAAATAATATAAAACAAAGTGCACAAAAGCTGTCTTTAGGGTGTCGTTGGACGTTCCAACATAATTCAATGACCTGAAAAACACGACACGAATTGTTACGGGTTAATTATTTGGGCATTTATCGGTAAATTATTATCTTCCATAAATTCTTAGAATCTGAAATTATTTTCTGGCTTTAAATAACCAGCGAAAGGTTGATAACCCGTAAAAAATGAATCAATAATTCATGAAACCTTTCTTTTCTTTTCTTTTTCAATTTGTTCTTCTCTTCTCCCCCCCTTCTTCATATATAAATTTTCCTTTTTATCATTTTTCTTTTTTTTAATAATTACCTATGTCTTTCGCTTATTCGTCCTACGAAACGCTGACTTAATTGATATACAGGCTCATTGAAAAGTAATTCCCTATTTTATGTATAATGGACTTTCCTGTCTAACTATAATTTTTACAAGACGGGAGAGTCCATCATACATAAAATAGGGATTTACTTTTCAATGAGCCTGTAGAACTGGGTTAATGTCATCTAGCTGTCGCGTGTTCAATCCTTGGTTCAGGCAATGGAACACTGGTTCCTCAGAAGCAAACAACAACTTGAGAAGAAGTGCTCGAAATAACTAAAAGACATTCTATCGTCTTCTTTCTTCTTTTGTAAGTTTTCCTTTCCTTCAAAACACTTTCTTCTTCTTCTCACCCCCACCCTCATCCAAGAGATATCGATGTCACAAAATAAAAGATCGATAAAGGATCAGAGCAATAAATTTGTTTTGTCTGGTGCTAGACTAAGATAAAATAACGCCGCCCATAAAGCGATGAGTCACGACGCTAACCTTCCAGACTTTTGATACT